CACATGATCAACATGTTACAAATGTTTGTATTCTTTCAGCACAAATGTCAGATGTCACAAATGTCAGGAAACCATGATTCCTGGACTTTAGAATTATAAGCCATTTTGAAACCATCATGAACCATCATGAACATTCTGCAGAAATAAACCTTATATTGCCTCTCATCACAGTAATAAGGTTGTTTTCAATTTAAGTTTATCCTCCACTTATGTTAGTATTTTTCTATTTGGCAAATTTCCAAATGAACTAGTTGGCAACACTGGTCTTTCATCCAGTAGAGTTTCTATGAGAGTGTAGTTGGTATGCTAGTGATAGAAGAGAAGAAAGGAAGAAAGAAAGAAAGAAAGAAAGAAAGAAAGAAAGAAAGAAAGAAAGAAAGAAAGAAAGAAAGAAAGAAAGAAAGAAATACTTTTCCTTACATATATACAATTGAACTTTAAGTACATTTAATAAAATGCTTGTCACTTGCCAGTGGAAAAGCAAATGCTTTATATATTGCTAGCTATTCTTTTTTATTGTTCAGGTGGCTATTTTTTTAAATTAATTTCCATCTCAGCAAAAGTGCTTGTAAATTTCTCCTACAATTTTCTACCACATATTTGTGAAGGTGAGCATTTTTGCTTTATTATTGTTTTAAATCAAAGTAAACTTCACATAGAACCAAATTGAAGGCTGTTTGTCTGGTGTTGAATAAAATGTTGCAAACTTTTGTATAAGTAAAGATAAATTTAATATAAAAATAAAGTTTATGTGTGATAATTATACTATTAAACATCTTCTAAATTGTGACTTATTTTGTTAAAAATGTTATTTAAGACTCCATTAGATATCTCAAAACAATAAAACACAGTCAAAAGAATGAAAAAAAAGGAGGAAAATGTGTAATATCTCATTAGAAAAATAAGGGACCTGGAAAATAGACTGAAGAGAGATAACTAAAGAATTATTGGATTACCTGAAAGCCATGATAAAAAAAAAACAGCTGATATAAGAAATTACCAAGGAAAACTGCCTTGATATCTTAGATCCCGAGGGTAAAGTAGAAATTGAAAGAATCTTCTAACAACCTCCTGAAAGAGATTTCAAAATGATAACTCCTAGCAATATTATAGTCAAATTTCAGAACTCTCAGGTCAAGTAGAAAATGCTGCAATCAGAAAGAAATAATTCAAATATTGTGGAGCCATACATCACACAAGATTTAGCAGCTTCGATGTTAAATGATCAGAGGGCTTAAAATAGAATATTCCAGAAGGCAAAGGAGCTAGGATTACAACTAAGAATAACGTACCCAGCAAAACTGGGTATAATCCTTCAGGAGGAAAATGGATATTTAACGAAATGGAGGTCTTTTAAACATTCCTGATGAAAAGATCAGAGCTGACCAGAGAATCTAAGATTCAAACAGAAGACCCAAAGAAAGCATAAAAAGGTATAAATGAGAGAGCAATCATAGGGGACTCAATAAAACTAATCTCTCTGTTTGGAAAGATGATACATGTGATTCCTAAGAACATCATCATTAGTAGGGCAGTTGGAAGGAGTCTACATAGATAGGGAGTATAAGTGTGAGTCAATCATGTTGGGTTAATCTTCAAAAAAATAAGGGGAGAGAAAGAGGGATGTACTGAAAGAAGCGGGAAAGGCGAGGTGGAATGGGGAAGATTTTTTCATATAAAAGTGGCACACAAGCCATAGCCTTCATAGTGGAGGGGAAAATGGGGGGGAGGAGAAGCATGTAATGCTGGAGCCTCACTCTCATCAGAGTTTATTCAGAGAGGAAAGCATAGATACACACACACACACACACACACACACACACACACACACAGACACACAGAGTCAGTTGTATTTAAAAAAATCTATTTTACCCAATAGGGAAATAGGAGGGGAAGGAGATAAGAGATATAATAGGAGGGGGAAATAAAAAAGGAGGGCAGATTAAGGGAGGCAGTGGTCAGAAGCAAAGTAGACTTTTAAGGAGGTACATGATTGAAAGAGAGAGAAGGATAAACAAAAGAAAACAGGATGGAGAGAAATGCACAGTAACCATAATTGTCAACGTGAATGGAATGAGCTCACCCATAAAACAAAAGTGAATAGCAGAATGAACTAGAAACCAGAATCCAACAATATGTTACTCATAAGAGACACACTTGAAACAAACAGAGTTAAAATAAAGAGATAGAGCAGAATCTATTATGCTTCAGTTGAAGCAAAAACCAAAACCAAAACCACAGGGATAGCAATCATGATCTTAGACAAAGCAAAAGCAAAAAATAAACTTAATTAAAAGGGATAAGCAGGGAAACTACATTTTGCTTACTATATATAGACAATGAAGTAATATAAAATTTTTTACAAGTTTCTTTGATAAAGACCTTATTTCTCAAATATGTGATGAGTATAGAATGAAGTCAAATTTATAGAAATAAGAACCATTCCTCAATAGACAAATAGTCAAAAGACATGAACAGGCAATTTTCAGAAGAAGAACTCAAAGCTATCTATAGTCACATGAAAAAATGCTCTAAAGCACTATTGATTAGAAAGATGCAAATTAAAGCAGCTTTGAGGTACTACCTCACATCTATTGGAAATGACAACTGCTGGAGAGGATGAGGGAAAATAGGTGCACTAATAAACTGTTGGTGGAGTTGTGAATTGGTCCAACCATTCTGGGAACAATTTGGGACTCTGCCCAAAGGGCTATAAAATCATGCATACCATTTGACTGAGTAATACCACTACTAGGTTTGTACCCCAAAGGGATCAAAGAAAAAGAAAAAGGACCTATAGGTACAAAAGTATTTATGTCAGCTCATTTTTGTGATGGAAAAGAATTGGAAATTGAGGAGATGCTCACCAATTGGGGAATAGCTGAAAAAAGTTGTGGCATGATTGTGATGGAGTACTATTGTGCTATATGAAATGATGAGGGAAGTGATTTCAGGAAGAAAAAAAAATGCTTGAAGATCTATATGAACTGATGCAGAAAGGTGAGAAGATCCAGGAGATCATTGTGCGCAGTGGAAGCAATGTTGTGGTGATGTAAATTAACTATGAAAGACTTGATTGCCCTTCTTAATACAAGGGCCCAGGACAGTTCCAAAGTACTCATAATGAGAGGGTGCTGTCCACCAAGAGGGAGAGAGACAGAGAGAGAGAGAGACAGACAGACAGACAGACAGAGCATTAGTATACTCAGAGTGCAGAAGTGTGGTTTTCCCACTTTCTTTTTTTTCCTTTATGGATGATATGGAAATGTGTCTTGCATGATTTCACATGTATGGTTAATGTTAGTGAGTGGAGGAGTGCCATGGGGAGGAGAAGAGGAAGAAAATTTGGAACTAAAAATTTAAAAAGAAGAGTATGTTAAAAATAAATAAATAATAAATAAAAAGACGTGAAATAAAAAAGTAATTTATATTCAACAAAATTCGTAAAAATGTGAAGAAATTTAATGTTAAATCTTGCAGATAATAGTAAGCATATGAGGTTTTGTTGGATTATTGTAACTATATAATGCAAATTTTAATTTGGAGCTTTTGAGGCCAAAAGTTACCATTGTATCATCATAGTCATTGTAAGTACTTAATGAGTAAATCTAAAAAGAGTATTATAAATGGTATATTAAATTGCGTTGGGTTTTCACAACACATTTTATTGTTGTTGAAAGGGCTTTTGGGAACAAAAAATGTTGGGAACCTTTACAGTAGGGATTCCTGTCACACGTAGATTAGACTTGGTAGCCAACTGAGGTCCCTTTCAACTTTCAAATTCTGTAATTTTCTGAGATTATATTTGGACTTGAAGCTAATAGGAGCCTTTGAAATTAATTGAGTAAAGGGGTAACGTGGTCAAATTTGTACTTTAGGAAACTCAGCATAGCATCAGCATGTATATAGTCAGATCAAAAAAAATTATAAAAAAGATAATAATCAACACCAAATCAAAAGAAAGGTTAAGTATCAGAAGGCACATTGAATGTATTTGCAACAATACTAACTCTACATGTTCCAAAGAAGCTATTGATAGTGAAAAATTGGAACTGCACGAAGAAAAAAAATATCGACAATAACTATCACCATTTCCCACAGAAATTTAATTAATATAAAGCAGTAACCATTGTGAAGAAGTCCATGGTGTCCTCAACTGTGTCCTTGAGGAAATACTTTGTCTCCTTGACAAGATGAGAAGCAAGGTAGGCCAAGGGCAATATTGCTTTAGAACATAATCTCATTTCCAAATGTTATGAAGAAGGATGGTTGAAGATTGCAAGCAATATTGTCTCACAAGACAGCAAAGAGTAGGGAAAAGGCAAGTGAGTCTACAGAAAATTTGGCATAAGATTCAACCTAGCCAGACAATTGCAAGAGCATTTATAGAAGAAACTGGAAGGAGGTTATAAATGGAACAGATTTCTGTAATAAGGATTTCTATAGTGAATTATTTACATTATTGATGACTGTGGAATCACTGTATTTGGATTCTAACATTTCAGGAATAAAAAAATATTTATTGAGATGCTGTGTTTGGTGCTGATCTCAAAGTTTCTATAAGAAATGAAATTACATCTATAAAGAAGTCAAAATTGCCCCAAATGACAGGGAAAACAGCTGGATCAGAACAAACTGAGGGAAGAAATCCATGCTGAAGCAATACAAACAAATTTGAAAAAGAATTAGGTATTGATTTTCAAGATAATTATACTGGTAGAGTTAGAAAACATCCTATTTGTGTTAGCCTTAATAGCTTAACTAAGTACAAACATGACTCAATCAATCACTCATAAACCTTCAAAGTAGAATGGTAATTCAACAATACTTTCTTTTTGACACAAAATTCCATTTTTTTACTCCATTATTGATGTATTGTGATTAGGCTGTGAATAGCATAACAAAATATTTTTCAAAGTACCAAAAGTCTGGATCCATTTCTTACATACAATAAAAAGGTTTCTGGTGGTTGTAAATAGGATGCATTTTATTCCCAACAGGAAAATATGGACTTGACCACAAGGAGGGCATAAGGACACCATCAATAAAACGTATAATCAGAAAAGGAGGTTTCCTGATCATGTATTGAGAGGGATAACAAGATGGACACTCCAGTGTTGATCCTCCATAGACAATTTAAGTACTTCACAAGGTAAAAGGTATGGATAAATTTTGATGTGAATTGTTGGAGGGAATACCTGTATGATGAGATCACAGATCTATTAATGTATCACCTCACTGGAATTTAAATTCCTTAAGAGCAGGATCCATGAATTAGCTAAACTTTGTACTTCACCTAGACCTAAGATGGAATTTTGTAGACAGCAGGCACTTATCAACTACATTATATCTTAACATGTAATTAATAAAAATAATGACTTTTTTAATGCTTTCAGTTTTGCAATGTATCTTATGTGTATTATTAGATTTGATTTAACGATCCTGTATTGTATCTAGCTAGAAAGGCATAATAACAACCGTGAGCTCCATAGGGATCAATCTCCAAATCAGTAAAGAAGCAATGAGACTGAACTCTCCCATCTTATCCTTTTCCCCGAGGCCAAAAGACCCGTAATCCCCAAATTTGAAACTTGTAAAAAAAAAAAAAAGGAAATCATTAATCACTTAGAAATCCAAAAGTGTTTTTCACTTTCTTTTTGTCCTTTTTCTTCCTTTCCCCAAGTTTAATAGCATAACTGACTCTGCACAGAATAAAGCCAATGTTTAAACTCTTTTCTTGCTCTAATCTGAGGGAAATGGCAGTGTAAAACCCATTAAATTTCATAGTTGTCATCCAATGTAAAATTTGCTAACCTAACCACCTGTATTTTATCGAGAAAATATTAAGAGAAAGAGAGGAAATTATGTAAACGAATAGGATATGAATGGGAATGTAGACAACAAAATGTGCATATATTGACCTCCTATAACAATAGAAATGTGATTTCATATTTTTAACCAGTTTTTTTTCTTTCCTAGGGCAGTTTGGTTTATGCTTGTCTATGCTGGGAGATATAAAACTAGAATGGCAAAATGTTCTTTCCTATATGCAGATCCTCCTGAGTTATAGATTATATAACTGATTTCGTAAGTTATAAAAAGATAGCACTTCCTTTCTCCATTCGCCTGTGCCTAAAATCTTACTTAGTTTATTACCTAGGTGTGACTAGGATATGAATAGGTTTTCCTGGTTCCTGAAACTGTGAAGAATGGGCAGATCCGAGTTGTATGGGGCAGATTAAAGGTTAATTCTAATGAATGGTTACATTACCTGCTAGAAGTCTGGGCTATTGGAGGCCTCCAAGAGACACAGAAATGCTAGTACTAAAATGGACCAGTAGCAAGAGACTGTTCAATTTTATTAACTTTGGTTGAATACTTAAAGATACAGTTTTTATAAGTAGAACCTTACTGAGAAAACATCCAAATAAGTTATTTTTATTCTTTTATGTGTGTAAACTTGTGTATTTTTTGTTTATGAACATGAATGTAACTTTAACGACCATTACTTCAGCTCCTACTACATGAAAAACAATGTACTAGGTGTTGGGAACAAGAAAGCAAAAATGAAAGCAGTTTTTTCCCTGAATTGGCAGTCTATAATCTAGTACGGAGATAGGACATGTACTCAAAAATCTATTATGTGATGAGTGCAAAGGTCAAACAAAGTGTTATGAATGATTTGAAAGAGAGATCTCTCCCATCTGCAGAGACACGGGAAAGCTTCATGAAAGATGATTTCTGAATTGGGCCTTAAAGGAAGGCAAGCATTTTGATAGGCAACATGAGGAAAAATCCATTCAAGACTTAGGGGAACAGAAGTTATTAAAAGGCCAATGATATTTATACATTTTAGTCTCTGAGAACCCTAAGGACAGTGTAGTACCAAAATTCTAGATGAGAAAGGCAAGATTACTTTTTGACTTTAAGGTTATTAAGCTTTTTAAAAGCTCCCTATGTTTTAAGTATGGGAATATAAATTAATTAAATGAAGTATATATGTGGTTTTTAAGAGGGATTTAAAAGAGAGTAGGTTTTCAGTGAAGTAAATGCCAGTCAAGTGGAATGATAGGACATAAGGGCCTTCTCAAAGTTCTCCTACCAGACCAACTTGGATATATTTTGTGAAAGATTCATAGGACAAATAGATAAGGAAGAAAAAATTAATATAATCCATATGGATTTAAAGCCTTTAAAGAAAGATAACAACATTAAAGTAGTTATCAATGACTTAAACAAGGGTTCTTAATCTGGTCTATGAATTTGTTTTAAAGTATCTTGATTAACCTGGTATCGGTGAACTTAAAAAAACACCCCCAAACTTTATAACTATATTTCAACATAATTATTTTAAAGTCAACAAGCATTTATTAGGAGTTTATTATGTTCCAGGCCCTGTGCTAAGCACTGGGGATACAAAGAAAGGGCACACACACACACACACACACACACACACACACACACACACAACAATAATAACCATGCTCCCTTCTCTCAAGGAGCTCACAATCTTCTGGGGAAGATAACAGACAAATAGCTCTCTGCAAACAAGATATGTACAGGAGGAACTGAAGATAAACAATAGAGGAAAGGCATTAGTGTTAAAGAGAATCAGGAATGATTTCTTATAGACAGTGAGATGTTACTGGGGACTTGAAAGAAGTCAGGTAAACTAGGAGTCAGAAATGAAAAAGGAGAGAATTCTAGGCATTTGGGACAGCTAGTAAAAAAGTTCAGGGTTTGGAAATGGAACGTTTTGTTGGAGAAATAGCAAAGTCCAGTGATACTGGATGGCAGGGTATGTGGAGGGAAGTAATGTATAAGAAGGCACGAGAGGGACCAAGGTATTAAGGACTTTAAATCCAAAGAGAGGATTTTATATTTGATCCTGGAGGGAATATGGGGTTTACTGAGTCGTGAGTGTCAGGGTCAGATGTGCGCTTTAAGAAGATTAATTTGACAGATAATTAGAAGATGTTCTAGAGTGGGGAAAGACTTGAGGCAAGGAAACCAACCTTTGTAATCCTATGTATTTAATTTTATGCATTTAAAAACATTATTCTGAGAGTCTATAGGTGTCACTAGCCAACCAAAGATGTCCATGACATGAAAAAGGTTAAGAACCTTAGTACTAATCCAGAGATACCAAGGCCTTTTCTAGGACCAATTTATTGAATAGTTTTATCACTCATCTAAGAGAAGGACATTAGCTCTATCTATGATTCTAAATTGAATAGGGTTACCATCACCTTACAAGATGGGCATTAAATTCAATGTGACCTTGTTAGGTTGGAAAAATGATTCCTTGCAAATAGGATGAAATTTAGTAGAGATAATTTCCTATTAATATATTTAGAGACAAAATATCCTTTTGGAATTTGCTGATTGATATTATTTTCCAATATTTTATTTTATTTTTAACTTATGGAATAAAACAAGTATTTCCATAACGGTACAATAAAGTAGATGAAAACTTGAAACTGCATATCTACTATGCACAGCTTCCTTTCAAATATAAAACAAAATTATGATGTAAATTCCTTTTTTTTCTTCCCTATCCCCTCCATCCCCACCCTAGAGATAGCTATAATTAGACAAAAATAGGTATATATGTATGTGTGTGTGTGTGTGTATAAACGTATTCTAAACATACTTCTATCAGTTCTTTTTCTGGATGTGTCATATAGATATTTTAGTCATATTCATTACTGTATTGTGAACCTTCTTCAGGTTCTTAATATTTCTTTCATATATGTAATATCTATTCTGGATATAGTTTCTAATAAGCCAGACGAATGTTAATACAATGAAAGCACCTTCCCTTCCCCATAATTTTCTATCTGGTATACATTTCAACCATTTTCTATATATTATTAATATAATATGTGTGTTATTATATCATATTATAACATATGATATAAATAACACATATAATAAATAATGATGATCACAATGATGATCTTGCACTGGAAATAGCAGCATAGTAAAAGTAAAAAACAAAAACAAAAAATCTGATTTCCATTACTAACTAGCTCTGTGACCTTAGGCAAATCTCTTAATTCTTCTGGACTTGTTCATTTTCTAAATTAAGGGGTTGGGCAAATGATTTCTAGAATACCTTGCAGTATTAAAATTCTGTCAGACTAATACAGAGATACGTTTCACGTGATTATGTATACATAACCTATATCAAATTGCTTACGGTCTTAGGGAGCAGGGAGGAGAAGGAGGGAAAGAGAAAATTTGGAACTCAACATTTTATTAATACTTAATGTCAAAAATTGTTTTACATGTAATTAGGAAAAATAAAATACTATAAAAAGAAAAAATAAAACTAAAATTCTGTCAGTATCAGAAATTTGGTCTTTAATAGCTATACTCTATTGTGGTCTCACATTCCAGATATATTCCACTAAGAATTTTTGTCTTTCTGCTTGGTGTGGAAGTGAGATCTGCTAGGTGCTGAGGGAGATACTAAGCTAGGTACTGTACTTAGGGAGAGCATAGACTCTGCCCTCACAGAACTTATTGTCTAATAGCTATGCATGAATATGAAAGAAAAAGAACCATAGTAGAACATATCTGAAATGTGAGACCTTGGTTGTTGAAATAAACATAATGTATATACCATCATCAATGGAAAGAAAAAAAATGAAATGAAATGCTATGTCATTATAATGAAGGAGTTTGATCCCAGAAGAATGATGAAAAAATATACCTCTCTCCTTTCTTTGAAGAGGTAGCTGTGGAACAGTAAATGTACATCATGGGTTCATTAGTTTTGCTGTACTGCTTTTTTTCCCCCTTCTTTTTAATTCTTAATTCATAGGATGGATTAATAAGTAGGGGAAAATGAAAGCATTTATTCCAAAATGATATTGAAATAAAAATAAAAGATATCAACGTTTTTTAAACTGTTGAAAGAATCACTCACAATTTCTACTTTGTCTCTTGTTCTTCCGTAAGTGAGGTAAACAGGTAGCTGTCTCAGTCCACCTTTATTCTGATTCCTTTGTGAAAATTCTTTTGAATTCTAACAATATTCCAAATATTCAATAATGTCCAGAAGGGTGTCAGATTGATCTGACTTAATGGGTGCTTATGCTACTCCTTTGCGTTAAGTTAAATTTTAAGCTATTAAAGTAAAAGTTTTAGCAGTATCTGATTCCTGCAGAAAACTTCACAGTAGGTCCTACCTGGCTGAGCTTAAATCCTTCATTGATCACTGTTGGACTAAAACTCTACAACCATTTGGAACCTTCATGACTATAGGATGACCTAGGGCTCTAGGGCATATTTACTCAGATTATATGAGCATGTTATATGGAGGCAATAAACTTTATTAGTCAAGAAA